CTCAAATTTGGTACATACTAGGTAGAGGATGTCTGAATGATGGATTTCCAATAACAGGTCTGGACTTCTGGGCTCAAATAAGCTTCCCTAGTAGACAACATTTCAGATGTGTTGTCACACGTTGCTGGAACAATTGTGTCCCATGTGATTTCACTGAGAGAAAACTTACATCTGGTTTCCTTGATCTCCCCACATGCACCTTTCCCTTTGTTTCTGCTGTAATAAATCACATGACTGTCTGTCCTGTAATCCTCCTAGTGAACTGTCAAACCTGGTGTGGTGCTGGGGATCCCATGAATATTTGCCTTTTTCCTGATTTTAATGGTAAATCATACAGTTTTTCACCATTGAGTATAATGTTAGCCATGGATTTTTCATAGATGCCCTTTATCAGATTGAGGAAGTCTGATTTGTTTTTATGTTTTCACTCTATCCCACAGTTTGGATGTGTTCTATCATCAGAGAACACTTTGTATGACATCAACCCTTTAAAATTTATTTCAGCTTGTCAAACATATGGTTTATTCTTGAGGTTACTCCATGTATACTTGAGAAGAATTTTTATTCTACTCTTTTAGGGTAAAGTGTTCTATGGATGTCTGTTAGGTATAGTCGATTTACAGTGTTGCTTAAGTTTACTATTTCCTTGTTGACTTCCTGCTTAGGTGTTTTATCCATTGTTATAAGTAGGGCGTTTAAGTATCAAACTATTATTGTTGAATTGTCTACTTCTCCTTTCAAGTCTGTCAGTTTTTGCTTCATGTATTTTGGGCCTTTGTAGGTACACATAGATTATAATTGTTTTGCCTTTCTGAGCATTGACACCTATTATCATTATGAACTGTCCTCCTTTGTTTCTTTTTTTTTTTTTGCTGTACGCGGGCCTCTCACTGTTGTGGCCTCTCCCGTTGAGGAGCACAGGCTCCGGACAGCGCAGACTCAGCGGCCACGGCTCACAGGCCCAGCCACTCGGCGGCATGTGGGATCTTCCCGGACCGGGGCACGAACCCGTGTCCCCTGCATCAGCAGGCGGACTCTCAACCACTGCATCACCAGGGAAGCCCTCCTCCTTTGTTTCTAATAATGAACTTTGTTTTAAAGATTATTTTGCCTGATATTAGTATAGCCACTCAAGCTCTACTTTGGGTTCTAGTTGCATGGTATATTTTTCCTCCATCTTTTCACTTTTAACTATTTGTGTCTTTAAATACAAAATGTGTCTCTTGTAGACTGGGTATATTTGAATCATGTTTTTGTTTTTCTAAAATCTTATGTCAATTTCTGCCTTCTCATGGGAGTGTCTAGTTTATTTACATTAAATGTAACTACTAATAAGGTAGGATTTATTTCTGCCATTATGCTATTTCCTTCTGAGTCCTCACCAGCAGTATTCTCCATATTGTTATAGTCCAGATTTCTATTACAGTCTTTTCATGGTGATTTTGACTTTCTCTATCAAGTTCCTGAAAGTTCCTCCAGCCTCCAGCCACTTCCCAGTTCCAAAGACACTTCCATTTAGGTATATGTTACAGAAGCACCCACTTCCAGGTAATAAAATATGTACTAGTTTTCTATGCTGCATAACAAATTACCACACTTAGCAGTGGTAGGACTGAGGATCCTGTTCTCTTGATGACCATGAGCTAGGAGGCTGCTCTCAGCTCCTAGAAGCCACTAGCAGTTCCTTGCTATTGGTCCTCTCCTAGGATCTCTCACAACATGGCAGCTTACTTTTTCAAAGCCAGGAGGAAATCTGTCTGACTTCTATACCCTCTTTTAGAATGCTCACCTGATTAGGTCAGGCCTACCTAGGATAATGTCCCTTTTAAGTCAAAGTCAACTGATTAGGTACTTCAATTACATACACCAAAAAATCTCTGCCTTTGTCATATAATGTAACCTAAGCCATAGAATGACATTCATCATCTTCACAGGTCCTGCCCATTTTCAAGAGTAAAGTATTATACACAGGTAGGTGGCATTGGAGGTCATCTAAGAAATCTGCCCACCAGTTACATTGTACTTATACCCTTTCAAATGCCCTTTTAATTTGTCATAATAGATAACAACTGGTACATCATTCTTCCACTCTCCTCCCACCTTTGCTTTAGTCTTATGTGTATGTATTTATGTATGTTCACGTGTATGTGTCTGTATGAAAATGATTCTCAGCATCAGTTTTTTTGCTGAAGGTTTCCCAAGCTATAGCTGATTTGATGAAATCTATCCTCCAGTAGATTCCTCAGGAAGGGTTCATGGGTATAGAATTCCCTAAGTTCTTTTATTTTAAAGACAGTTTGGCTAGATATTATATCCTTGGTTCACACTTTCTTTCATTGAATTTTCTATACTTGTTCATGTATTTTAATTTTGTCTGGAGTTTAGACTTACCATTTTCTTCTGCTTCACAGTTGGTTTTTGGTTAAGAGTTTTCCTCAGCTGTCTGTTGGACATTTTATTTCCTGATTTTAGCATTAGTTCTCTATGGGTTTTACTTTTCTCTCCTTCATTTTGCATTATTGTGCTGTTTAAAAAGATTTCTAGGTTAGTGACGCTAGTTTCTAGTTTCTGTTGATTGTTCCAACTAGCCTCTTCATGGGTCTGTCTGCTTGTCACAGAGCCTTCTAGTACTGAGGGAGTGTGGCAGGAACAATTAGGGTCTGGCCCTGTGATTTGTTGCTTTTTCTCTTTTTATTCGGCCATTCTGAACAGATGGTATTCTCTGTCTTTAAGCAATGCTGAGAGTTTGGTTTTGGATAAAAATGCAATTGTGGAGTCATTTCATATCTTTTAGGGAGGTTGTTTACCATACACCCACCACTGACTTCAGCTGCCTTGTTTTAAAAAAAATCCCCTTAATATATTATCTTTTCAAACAAAAAACAAATGTGAAAAAATAATATACAGGCATACTCATTTTACTGCACTTTTTTGTGCAGTAAAATTGTTTTTCTCAGGTATTGTGTTTTTTACAAATTGAAGGTTTGTGGCAACCCTACATTGTCAGATGATATTTAGCAATAAAGTTTTTTTAAGGTATATACATTTATTTTAGACACAATGCTATTGCACACTTAATAGACTACAGTATAGTGTAATCATAACTTTTATATGGACTGGGAAACCAAAAATTTGTGTGGCTCACTTTATTAGGATATCCACTTTATTGCAGTGGTCTGGAACCAAACCCCCAACATTTCTGAGGTATGTCTGCAAATGATTTTCGACTTGTGCTTTTTAACTTGAAATTATTAGGTTTTGATTAAGTTTATAAATAGACTGTTTACAGGAGGCTAGATTTCCTAAAAGTTTAACAGAGTCAGTTAATTCCTCACGTAGTTTTTGACTTGTAGCTATTACCAGTTTGCCAGACATGTGAAATGCTTAATAGATAGAATATATTAAATGCATAAATGAAATTTAAAATGTTTACAGTCACTTAATTATTTAGGTCTTTAAATCTAGCTGACAGCTTAAGGGAAATTTAGTTGGCTTGACTTAAGTGGATTAAACATTTATCAAAAGAAAATAACTCCTTATTTAGAGAAAACTTCCTAGACTTATAAAGATACTAATGAAGCATGCCTGTGGAATAGCAAGACCTGCCTAAGCCCAGGAGTACAAGAAGCAACAGGGCAGAAGTTTGGATAAGAATGAGGAGATAGGATATGGGTGGTCTTGATGATTAGACGTCTCCTTGCCCTACTCTATAATTTCATTTCTAAAATCTATCACTTCTCCCAAACACATCAGGATGTTTCATGCCTCATTTACTGTCTTAGGCACTGGGGAATACAGGGAAGAGCAATACAAACTTCCTATTCTCATGGACCTCTACTACAGAAAAAAAGACAGACAAAAAAACCAACCAAATAAATATATAATTTCAAGTAAAATATATAATTTCAAGTAGTGACAAAGCCGTGAGGATAAAAAAAAAAAGTGGGTTAAGGGAACAGAGTAATAGGGAAGGGTGTTATTAAGACTATATTCAGGAAAGGTTTCTCTGAGCTCATGATATTCAATCAGAGATCTGAATGAAGTCGGAGACAGACATTGACAGGAAGAGAATTCCAGATGCAAGGTCTAGTAAATCGCAAAAGCCTTTAAGTGGGAATAAGCTTAGTGTGCTAATGGTACAAGGAGGCTACTGCGGCAAAGCCAGAGTGAAAATAACGTCAGAAAGACAGATGAGGGCAAATTATAGCCGACTTGTGCGCCATGGTACAGAATTTGGATTCTATTATGAATGCAATGGGAAGGCACTGAAGCATACTGTTCCGACCTGCTTAGATTGCCTTCCTCCTTAGTTATCTGGCTAACTCCCATTTGTCTTTCAAAATTTAGCATCATCTCCCGTGGGACGTATTTCTTAACTCTCCAGGTAAGGTCAATCACCTCCTCCTGTGTGCTACTTCTGAGCGATAACAGATTACTGAACTGTGTTTGTGTTTCATTTCCTTTTATTGTTGCCCCAGCATGTAACATAGCGGTGGGTACTAAGTAAAGGTTAGTGCTTATTAAAGGTTAGTAAAGGAAAACCACCCATTCATTCAATGGTGCCAGCCTTGATTCCTCTGGACCACTTCAGGTACCATGTACGGGGAGGCGCATGGGAATTGGTACCCTGGGAGGTTGGCTGCAACATTCCCCCAGCTCTCTCTGCTACCAGAGGCCAAGAAGGCCTCTCGGGACAGCCAACCCCCCAGCTGTCAGGTGCCTGCTGCCTCCCCTTTGAACATCTATGCCCTACCTTCTTGGGCCCTGTTGTGGGACTTCGGGTGGGGCGACCTTCGAGCTTCACATCTCTGTATCCACACTCCCCGCAAACCCTTCCCCGGCCTAGTCAAGCACCCCATTCCCCAATTTCCCCCTTAACAACGGAAGTTACAGCCGCGATGCCCACTGGCCTACAGGGTCCGGCTCTTGCCTTCCCTCCGTGCTTCCACGGCACACCCCTCGTCCCGCAGTGGCCCCCACGGCCCCCCTGTCCCACTCACCTAGGATGCGGGTGACCCCCAAGGTCAGCTTCTCCAGGTGCGGCTTGTTGCTGCCCAGCAACGGGGGCGGTGTCTCCTCCATGGCTTGCATCCCAGCTCCGCGCGCGGTCTGAGGAGCGGCTGGGACAGGGCGGGGGAGCCGGGCGGCCGGGAGGGCCGGACTCCGCCCGGGAGGCGCGGCCGTCAAGTTCACGGCATGCCGGGAGTTGTAGTGCTCGGAGCCTGAGAGCGCGGCTGGGCGGAGATGGGGGGCCCGGGCTGCTCTGGGAGTAGCAGTTCTACGAGGCGCTCGTTCCCGCCGCCCCGGCGGGGGCTCCACACCACGCCGCCGGGACACGGCGACTCCACCGCCCGGACCCTCCCGCCCCGCCGGGGCCGGCTGCGTAAGCGGGGGCGGGCCTCTGCGCAGTGCGGCCAATCGGGACCGGGCCTGGAGGCCGGGGTTGGACGGCCTCGGCGGGACGCCCCGAGTGGCGGTTGTTTCAAGATGGCGGACGGGGAGGGCCCCTCCCGACTCGGCGCGGCGGCGTTCTGGAGCCGCGACTGTATCCTTTGCCCGCCTGGCAGGGGGCGCCGGCGCTTTACCCGGTGCGGCGAACGGTCGCGAGGGACGCGGAGTGCAAGGAAGAAGCTTGCCGCGGACCCCGGTGGCGGGGCCGTCCCGTCCGGCCGCCGTCCGGGTGCTGGGCTATGCTCTTGCTTGGGTATTAGGTGTCAGAGAGCCTGCACTGTCTCCAGGCTGGAGTTCAGGCGTGGGGACTCGGCACAGATGTTTCCCAGCCCTCCTTGGCGGTGAGCTCTGGAAAGATGGCCTAGAGTCTTGGCCTCTCCTGGGGCTGGAAGGGTCCCTCTGCCCGGGATGACCTCCGGCCGGCCTAGTCTCTTCGGAGTGAGCTTGTGGAGGAGTGCATGGTGTTGGGTGGTCCAAGAGCTTTTTGTCTTGGTTTAGGAGTGTCCTCAGTCTGCGTTGTTAAGAGTAAGTCAGGACCTTGTCGGACTTAGAAGGCCTGTCAGTGGTGATTTATTTTCATACTGAGATCTTTGGAGAAGTGTGGACTTGGTTTCACGCGGACATGATCTGGTGATGATGATTATGGAATAGGACGCGATGCAGATTTTAGGGCCTGGAAGTGGTGTTGATTTGCATGTAGATTGCGGGTCCCACTAGCAGGACTGAAGTTCTTGGGTTGTTTTATGGTAGAGAAGCTGTGGCGCTTTTATCCTTGCGGTAGTATTCCCAGATTAGTATCTATGATGAGATGTCTGACAAAACTGGTTCTTTCCCTGTGTTAGGTAGACTGTTCTAGGCTGATCTTTGGTTCTGATAATTTGTTTCATGTTAGAGGAGTGTTACCTGAAAGGAAGGCATTCAGTGTATTGGGTGCCCGCAGAGGCAAGTCTTTTTGTCTGTCTACAAGGATTGGTGATGGCATTGTTGGAAGCATTGCTCTTAACTTTGGCAGAATCTTTCTTTGCACATTCTGCTTAGCTCTCAGTAAAACTTAGAAAGTTGTATTATCAGTTACCCTTGTTGAATTACTAGGATTAAAGTGTCATGCCGTGGAGAGTGGGATATTTTTGCATTTCTTGTTGCTCCGTGTTTAGTGTTATGCACTTTCTAAACATAATTACACTTGTGTGTGATAGGTCGGTGGGAATCAAGTGAAATCGTGTACACGGTGGATAAAAGCACACTGATGCACTGTGCAAATAAAATATTTTTTTCTTTACCTATCAGTAGAATATGTACACTGGGAACAAGTGGGCTGAATTAGGAAGTTAGGAAATTGGGATGAGTCATACTTTCTCATGAAACATTACCTCTGCATTGTTAGAATTTTGTGATAGAGATATTTGAAGATTATTAGCTTATAATGTGCTTCTTTAGTGTAATCATTTTCATAACCATCCATGTGGCTTTGGTTATTATTCCTTAACTTTCTGTATAACCAATGCTATTGTGCTGATACAGAATATGTAAGAATATTGTTGTGATATAGAATGTGTGTGGGGCGTGGGGAGGGGAGACAGTCTGTTGCAGTGGGTCTGATTAAGTTAATAGGTATGTAAACTAAATCTATGCTCCTGGTCTTAGCAACCCTGTACTCTCAGTTATTCGTGCAGTCATATTACTCCCTATTTCATATAGAAGTCACATAGCCTTCCTTTTCTCTTACACTCTCCCTTACCCTAAACATTTATGTAAAATACTAATCTTCCCATTCAAAGTGGGGAGTTGAAATTATATGGGGAAAATGGTGATGATTACATTCTGTAGAAATTCAGATGCTTGAAAGGAATTGCAAGGTTACCACTATCACCCTTCCTATTCCACATAATGACCAATTAATATCCAGACTCAGATATTTTCATTTTAATCTCTATAGGACATAAAAGCAATGTCAAATATAAATTTGTTACTGAATCTTTGCTAAAAAGCATAACAATAATTATCAATCATTTGATTTAGTCACGTGTCTTTTGATCTTCATCTCTTTTCTTGTCACAATGATGACTTCCCAGACCACCCCAAAGCATTTATAATTAGAACTTTCAATAGAAAAAGACCAAAAATTATGCACCTATAATCTGGTATTATTTTCACACTATTGAAAGATTTTCAGTGTTTCACCTAAGCAATTAGAGAAATATGATTGAGCGATTTCCTAGTCCTAGATGTTTCCGTCATCTGAGGACAGATCATCTGTGACTGAATATCACCTTTTTCATACTGTTGTTCTTATGAGTTATGTATCTCCTGCACAATATGATTCAGCAGTGCTGTTTTGCACAAGGTATGTCTTTATACCCAATGTGTAAACAATGAGTATGCCATGTTGTCATTTATGGCTTAAATCTGCAAGTAGAATATGCCCCTTCGGCCATAAACTGCTTTCCTCCTTCATTATAGCTCCTGGTAATATCAAAAGAAGTTAGTGTTTCTTCAGTATCTAAATTTGCTGAAGTGCACTCAAGTGTATTATCATTAACAATATTATGAACTTGATGTTAGTTAGAACTGTAAAGGACCTGGTCAAAACATTGCAGTAGCTATAATCTCTGCCATTGAGTTTTTAATTAAAAATAGAGACTTTACGTTGATGTTAAAATAATACACTAGTCAGGAAAATAGTTGTGGTTAGTAATAATAATACGCACGTTGTTGGTAAGTGATTCAAACTCATAAGGTTAGGGTAGAGTGGGAAGTACTAAGTTTATTTTCTTGAGATCCTGGTTAGGGTAGGTATACTTATTTCTCTCTACCACTTCTGCCTTGGGTTTCTCATTACTACTTTAATTCCGGAAACTTGGGCATTAAAGACTCTTTATAATTTGCTGTACTTGTCTTATTGAGGCACTTCCAAATGAACCAAGTAGAACTAAGGTGGCACATAGAACCCAATAAGAGGTCCAATATACATTTCGTATATATTGTGTCTCTTTGACTTTGCCATAAAATATATATATTTGTTGGGAATCTTTGTATTTGAAGAAGGTAAATATTTGGGTTCTTAAGATAAAGAGCTGAAGATAGATTACAAATGATTAGAAAGGATAGGTTGGATGGAGGCAATTTCAAATATTTCTGTCTTATTTATAAAAACTTTTGTTAAGGTCTGTTTATTTAGCGTTTTTATACTTGAAAAGAAATTTGGCATGGATGTAGCTAGTGGGTTTTGTGTGCATATTTTGAATAGGACAAAAAGAGAAGGATAACACTGAGTTGTTGGACAGTGCCTCATAGGATTAAATAAATATCAATTTCATTCGTTCATAGATGGTTTACCATGAGCCAGGCATGCTTTGACCTTAGGTGATACAACATTGAACAAAACGATGCAAATCTTCACCCACTTGCTGCTTACATTTTAGTGAAATGAGATGAGTTCATGAATAAGTAAAATAATATTATATGTCCAGTGATTACAGGTGCCATGGAGAAAAATAAAGCAGGAAAAGTGTAGCTATCATGGGGGTCTTTTGTGTCTGTTTTTATGCTAGTACTGTACTGTTCTGATAACTATAGCTTTGTAATATTTTGAAACCAGGAAGTGTGATACCTCCAGCTTTATTCTTCTTTCTCAAAATTGCTTTGTCTAATTGGGGTCTTTTGTGGTTCCATACAAATTTTAGGATTGTTTGTTCTATTTCTGTGAAAAATGGCATTGGAATTTTGATAGAGATTGCATTGAATCTGTAGATTGCTTTATGGACATTTTAACAATATTCTTTCAATTCATGAGCATGGAATATCTATTTGTGTTTTCTTCATTTTCTTTTATCAATGTCTTATAGTTTTCAGTGGATAGGTCTTTCACCTCCTTGGTTAAGTTTATTCCTAGATATTTTATTCTTTTTTGATGCATTTGTAAATTGGATTATTTTCCTAATTTGTCTTTCTGATAGTTGGTTATTCTTGTATAGAAATGCAACAGATTTTTATATATTGATTTTGTATCCTACAACTTTTGTTTATAAACAAACTGAATTTATTTATTCATTCTAACAGTTTTTTGGTGGAGTCGTTAGGGTTTTCTATATGTAGTATCATGTGATCTGCAAACAGAAGCTTGTGGAAGGCTTCTACAGTTGGTTTTTCTTAAAGAAGTAGGAAGCAAAGTTATTAGCTTAGAGTAAGGATGGGGGAAGTGGCATCTGGTTTGAGAAGAGAGGAGAAAGTGTAAAATACTTGATGAGCTTCCAAATCAAGGTGCAGCTGAGTGGGGTCCTCAGTGGCTGGTCTCTTCCAGCTGTTGAGCAGGCTCCTTTGTGAATGATCCAGAGAAGTGTAGTATGTTTTCCAGGACTCTGTTATGTCAGTCTTTCCATACGTCATCCTTGGAGATGGAGAATGTTCTGCAAATTCATCACTACTTTATACTCTAGTTGAAGACACTGCCGTATGGAACATGTCCTGGGTCATCTTGACTTTTTTCCGCTGGGTACTTTCTCCCATGTGTATATTTCCAACAGCAAATGATTAAACATTTATTGAGCACCTGCAGTGTGTGCAGTCCCAAGGGATGTAAAAAATGAATCTGCTGTTAAAGAGCGTGCACAATTTCATTTTGTAAGGATTTTTTTTTGGATTGTATGTCAGTGAATTTAGAAATTCTCTCTCTGCTCCAGTGTTAGTTGCAGTCAATTTCCTTGGACTTGTGGGGTCTAAGTTTTTGCTTGTTTACTTGTCTTATGTGCCTCCTAAGATTTTCTAAGCTCCATCCCTGATGTCTAAGGGAATTTAAAGTTTTTAGAGGCCCTATCAGCCAAAAGCTTGAAGCTGTGATAGTGCTGCAGAGAGCTGTTAGAAACCACCTGGCAGTTCAGACAGTAAGCACCATCTTTGTGTTCCATAGGGATTCTAGGCATTTCCAATCAGCATTCCTTGAAAAGATTCCATTACTAGAATTGATTCTGAACTGAAATATATTGATTTTTTAACATGTTATTAATCCACTGTTTTATTCCAGCCTTTTCCCAGGAGGAAATAGTTAATAATTGGTTTGTCTACAAATTTTGGAAAAGAAAGTGTTTTATAAAGTAACAAAACTTTAGTATTTTCTAGATCATTTGAAAAAAATTGTTTAGACACTTACTTCCTGGAAGTGTAATAGAAGGTTATCAAATGGTGGACATACCTGGATTTAGATATAGTTCTGAATAAAATTTTATTTCTGGAAAGTAAACTTTCTTATTATATTGGTTCCCTTTCTATAGCAGTGTTCTAGCCTTTCTGAATTTCTCCTTTTGAAATTCAGAATAGTCCTTTTTGTCTTAAATTTCTTCAACTTGTTAAATAGTAGGGCTTCTTGAGACATTTCATGAATATACTGCAGAAGAATAAAAAATGTTTTTTGTGTTGGCATGATTGACTTGCCCCCAAACAGTGTTTGTTCTTCAAAGCTGAAGCTCACTTTGAAATTACAGATTCTTTTTTTTTTAATATATCTTTTTTGGAGTATAATTGCTTTACAATGTTGTGTTAGTTTCTGTTGTACAACAAAGTGAATCAGCTATAAGTATACATATATCCCCATATCCCCTCCCTCTTGAGCCTCTTCCCATCCTCCCTATCCCACCCCTCCAGGTCCTCACAAAGCATCAGAGCTGATCTCCCTGTGCTATGCAGCAGCTTCCCGCTAGCTATCCATTTTACATTTGGTACTGTATATATGTCAATGCTAAAGCTTACTTTAAAATTAAAAGCTAAAGCTCCCTTTGAAATTACGAATTCATGCCTAAAATAACTTGTCATTCACCGATGATGAGCAAAATGGAGTATTTAACTCCTTGTTTACGAAAGGAAAGAAAATGAAAGGAAACTAATTTGTAGTGTATCTCACTTGGGAATAAGCATGGATAAAACTTTTATGGAACAAGGCCTTCCAAAATTTTTACAAAGCAGATAGTTGTGAATGTATAAAGATTAACTTTAAAAGATTATTAATTTTGCTACATTTATTTTAATTATGGTGCTTTCTAGTTTTGTTTTTAAAAGCTAGTTATAAACTCCCAGGTCAAAACAAATTACAAATTATAACAGAAATACAGAACAGCAATGTTTGGATGTTGGATAATCTTTTCTAGTATTTTCCTTTATGTCTTCCTGCATAGTTTCTGATGAAGAACAGTCAGTAGTGTATGTTCCAGGTATGATTTTATGCATTAATTTGGTAAACTTCCTTTGCTTCTTAAGAGGAGAAAATAAAAACATTAGGATAACTTTGCAGGTATAAGTAGATGCAGAACAGTTCATCAGAACCTAATTTTTTTTTTTTTTTTTTAATGTTTGCTATGACCCCACTAAGGTTTGAAATACTGCCTTATTTTAGGGGCTGGCTGGGCAAGTCAGCTTTTGATGAATTTACAGAATACTTCATTCATGTGTTAAAGAGCAAGAGATTCTTTTCTTGTCATATTACAAATAATAGTTTAAATTTTATATTTCAAAAAAATGTGAAAACTTCTTTATTTAGTGTTTATGTAATAGACTTTAAAGCTTACTTACTGGTTGTTAAGAGGTGAGTAGTAAAACTGAACCACTGGAGGCATCCTAATTGTGTGAAGAATCAGATTTTTAATTTTCAATAAGTTAAGCTATGTATGGTATGTTGTAGTTTATTGGTTTTAATGTGACTTACGGATGTTCACATCCCCATTTAAAAATACTTCAGTTGAATCTTTGCATGCAAAACATCATCTTTTCATGATTCATTATTTAGTAACAGAGCCTTAAAACGAAGTTTATAAAGTAAGAGATTTCCCCATCAAGTGCCATAAGTAGAGGATATCAAGGAAGAGGTTGATGGGGGGAGGGTTTAAGAGAATGAAAAGATATAATTTTGAAATCTTGTTTGATGGAAATCCTTAGGAATTTCTACAGGAGGAAATATCAGATCAAGACACAAGATGGTGAATCCAAAAGCTGATGTTAAACTTAAGACTTCCAGGGTGACTGCTACTTCAGTCTCCATGGAGTCTTTAAAAGGTGCAGGGGATTCAGTAGATGAACAGGTCAGTAATTTCTTTTTTTCTTTTTCTGGTTTTTTTTTTTCCCTTATTCTCCAGTCTTTATAAATGCTAACCAGTAAGTCATTTTTTTATGCTGACCAATAACTGATAGATAAGGGTAGAGGAGCCCTTGAAAGAACATTAGATGATCTACAAGCATTTTTAAAGATACAGAGGATTCTAGGATGCTTTGCTTAGTATGAATATAAAATGTGTGTTACTCATTTTGTTCCAAAATGTCCAGGCTTGCTTTAAGCCTTAGTTAAGAAACATTTATTGTCTTAGTATGTCTCCAAAGACTTAAATCCTGATCTGTGTGGAGTTAGTAAATCAAATTGACAATTTTTTTCTTTTATTAGGTGTCCTTTGTGACTTTTGTTCATGTGAATTTGTTAGTTGATGGTGGATAAACCTTTGTATATAAGAAAATGCTTTATTAAAACAAAATTAGCCTGTATTATTATTGTTATTATTTCCTTCGTTTGGCAAATAATATCATAAAGACTTTATTTTTATAGCTCAGTCATTGATTTCTCCTTTGTCTTTCTTCGCCTCTTTAATAGTGTCTGTACATTCCTTTGGTATATGCTCTATCTGATTGGTTTATTTCACTTTACTTTTTGTTATATTTTGTCTCCCCAACCAGAGTTTAACTCAGGGTTTGGCAATCTATGACCTGTAGGCCAAATCTGCTTCTTCCTGTTTTGTGAGTAAAGTGTTACTGGAACACAGCCACTCTCAGTCTTTTAGTGTTATGTTATTGCCACTTTCGTATTAAAATGGCAGAGGCGCTGTAAAGATGAATGCTCACAAAGCCAAAATCATTTGCTATCAAATTCTATATAAAAAATGTTTTTCAGTCCCTGGTTTATGTTCAGATATTGAAATTTTCAATGTCTAGTTTGTTACTAATTACAGTTGACCCTTGAACAACACAGGTGTTAGGGGTGTTGAACTCCGGGCAGTTGAATATTTGCATATACCTTTTGGCTCCCCAAAACTTTACTAATAGCCTACTGTTGAATGAAAGCCTTACTGATAACATAAATAGTCAATTAACACATATTTTGAATGTTATATGTATATTTACATACACTTTACGCATTCATGACACACCTTTTTTCTTAATTTTTAAAAAATATTTCTTAGGCTCTGTGGTTCGTCTGCAAGCTTATTCAAATTGTTGTAAATCTCCAAAAAGTTTTGCAATATATTTATTGAAAAAAAATCTGCTTGTAAGTAGACTTGTGCAGTTCAAACCCATGTTGTTTAAGGGTCAACTGTTTTATGTTTAGTTATCTACAGGATTTAACTGTGATTAGCTCAAAAAGCCTGCCTATGTTACTTATATCCCCAGTGTGTACACTTCACACTAGGATGTGAATAGTTGAATTTGCAAGTTCTTATCAAAAATTGAAAGTATTTTTTCATATAATAGTTTGTGTATTTTATAGTGAACAGAAACTATTCCCCATTCATATCAGCTCTTGGCAACCACTAATCTGCTTTTAGTCTCTGTATTTGTCTGTTCTGGACATTTCATATAACTGGAATAATGTAACATGTGGCCTTTTGTGACTGGCTTTTTTCATTAAGTATAGTGATTTCAAGTTTCATCTATGTTGTATCATGTATCTTTACTTCATTTCTTTTTATGGCTCAATACATATTTTGTTTAACCACCAGTTGAAGGACATTTGGGTTGTTACAGTTTTTGGCTATTATCAATAATATTGCTGTCAGCATTCATGTACAAGTTTTTGTGTGGATGTATGTTTTCAATTTTCTTGTGTATACACCTAGAAGTAGAATTTCTGGGTCATATAGTAATTCTCTGTTTAACCTTTTGATGAACTACCAAAGTAGCGATACCATTTTACATTCCACCAGCAATGTATGAGGATTCCAGATTCTCCACATTCTCACCAACACTTTATAATTGTCGTAGTGAGTGTGAAGTGGTATCTCATTGTGGTTTTGATTTGTATTTTCCTAACGGCCAATAATGATCATCTCTTTATGTGCTTCTTGGCCATTTGTATGTGTTCTTTAGAGAAATGTCTATCCAGATCTTTTTCAATTGGGTTGTCTTCTTATTGATGAGTTGTAAGAGTTCTTTATAGATTCCATCTCCAAGTTCCTTGTCATATATATGATTTGCAGATATTTTCTCCAATTTTGTGAATTGTCTTTTCACTTTCTTTATTTTTTTAAATAAAATTTATTTATTTATTTATTTTTATTTTTGGCTGCATTGGGTCTTCACTGCTGTGCGTGGGCTTTCTCTAGTTGTGGTAAATGGGGGCTTACTCTTCGTTGTGTTGTGCGGGCTACTCTTGTTGTGGACGAAGCACAGGCTCTAGGCAAGGGGGCTTCAGTAGTCGTGGCTTGCTGGCTCTAGAGCGCAGGCTCAGTAGTTGTGGCACATGAACTTTGTTGCTCTGCGGCATGTGGGATCTTCCCAGACCAGGGCTCGAATCCGTGTCCCCTGCATTGGCAGGCAGATTCTTAACCACTGTGCCACAAGTGAAATCCTCTTTTCACTTTCTTATTGGTGTCCTTTGGAGCTTGAAAGTTTTAAATTTTGATGAAGTCCAGCTTATCAGTGTTTTCCTTTTATTTATTTAATTATTTATTTGCTGTCATATCTAAGAAATCATTGACTAAACCAAGGTCTCAAAGATTTATACCAATATCTAGGAGTTCTATAATTTTAGATATTACATTTAGGCTTTGATCCATTTTGATGTAATTTCTGTACATGCTATGGGTAGTGACCCAACTTCATTCTTTTGCATGTGGATTTCCAGTTGTCCCAGCGTCATTTGTTGCAAAGACCATTCTTTCTCCTTTGATTGTCTTGCCACCCTTGTTGAAAATCTGTTAATCATAAATGTGTTTGTTTCTGTAATCTCAGTTCTATTCCATTGATCTATATTTCTATTTTAATCGCAGTACCACACTGCTTTAGTATACTGTAGCTTTGCAGTAAGTCCTGGAATCAGGAAGTGTAAATACTCCAAGTTTGTTCTTCCTTTTCAAGGTTGTTCTGGCTATTCTGGGTCTTTTGCATTTCCATAAGAATTATAGAATCAACTTGTCAATTTCCGCACAAAAGTCAACTTGGATTTCAGTAGCAATTGTGTTGAATCTTTTTTTTTTTTAATGTTGAACCTTCTTTTAATTTATTTATTTTTATTTTTGTCTTTGTTGGGTCTTCGTTTCTGTGCGAGGGCTTTCTCTAGTTGTGGCAAGCGAGGGTCACTGTTCATCGTGGTGCGCAGGCCTCTCACTGTCGTGGCCTCTCTTGTTGCGGAGCACAGGCTCCAGACGCGCAGGCTCAGTAGTTGTGGCTCACAGGCCTAGTTGCTCCGCGGCATGTGGGATCTTCTCAGACCAGGGCTCGAACCCGTGTCCCCTGTATTAGCAGGCAGATTCTCAACCACTGCGCCACCAGGGAAGCCCTGTGTTGAATCTTTTAAAAAAAATTTTAAAAAGTTTTTAATTCAAGTATAGTTGATTTACAATGTTAACGTTAGTTTCAGGTGTATAGTACAGTGATTCAGTTTTTTATGTGTATATTGTATATATACCTATATATTATATATGTGTATATATATTTTTTTCTTTTTCAGATTCTTTTCCCTTATAGGTTATTACAAAATATTGAGTCTAGTTCCCTGTGCTATACAGTAGGTCCTTGATGGTTATCTGTTATATATATATATATAGTACTGTGTATATGTTAATCTCATAAATTAGGAGATTGGGAATCTTTTTTTCTTAATTTTTAAAATTTTTTAATTCAATTTTTAAAGGTTACTTTCCATTTACAGTTATTACAAAATACTGGCTGTATTCCTCGTGTTGTACAATACATCCTTGAGCCTGTCTTACACCCCACAGTTTGTATTTCCTACTCCCCCACCCCTATGTTGTGTTGAGTCTTTAGATCGATTTGGAGAGTACTCTCAACTTAATACTATTAAGTCTTCCAGTCCTTGAATATGGTGTGTAAAATGTCTTTCTATTTATTTAGGTCTTCTTTAATTTCTTTCAGTGATGTTTTATAGTTTTCAGTGTACATGCCTTATACTCCTTTTGTTAAATTTATTTTCAAGTATTGTGTTTTATACTTTTTGGTACTACTATTAACGGAATTGTCTTCTTAATTTCATTTTTGGATTTTTCACTGCTAGTGTCCAGAAACAGTTGATTTTTTATCCTGCTACCTTTCTAAATTCATTTATTAGTTCTAATCTAATAGTTTTTTGGTAAATTCCTTACAATTTTCTATATATAAGATCATGCCATCTGTGAATAGAGATAGTTTTACATACCCCTTTTCAGTTTGGATTCCTTTTATTTCAACTGTCTTCTAAAGAGATTTAAAAATGCAACAAACTTTATAGCAAGTTCACTTTTCCATACTGATAGTCTGTTGGTCCAGTATCATTTATTAAGAGGACCATTCTTTTCCCCATTGAATTACCATGATGCTATTGTAATTCAAGGAGAGACTTAAAATTTCACTACAAGTCTGGCAACTGTGAGAGGAGAAAGAAAGAAAGATTGACTAGGAAGAGTCTCAGACTTCCTTGCAGTCTGAGGTAGTGTCTGTCTGTAGAGATGTATCCTTCCCTTATTATAGCATAGCATCTTTTTTGGTAATCTCTATCCTGAATTTTGTGTTTGTCATTCTTTTGTTTTTCTATATCAGGGGTTGACAAACTTTTTCTGTAAAGGGCCAGATGGAAAATATTTAGCCTCTGTGAGACACATGGTTTCTGTCTTAATTATCTAAGTCTGCCACTATAGTGTGGAAAAAGCCTTATGTATGTCAATGTATAAAAGAATGTGCATGGCTGTGTTTTGTTTTGTTTTTAATTAATTAATGTATTTATTTTTGGCTCTGTTGGGTCTTTGTTGCTGCACGCAGGCTTTCTCTAGTTGCGGCAAGTGGGGGCTACTCTTTGTTGTGGTGCGCAAGCTTCTCATTGCGGTGGCTTCTCTTGTTGTGGAGCACGGGCTCTAGGTATGCAGGCTTCAGTAGTTGTGGCACGTGGGCTCAGTAGTTGTGGCTCACGGGCTCTAGAGCGCAGGCTCAGTAGTTGTGGTGCATGGGCTTAGTTGCTCCACGGCATGTGGGATCTTCCCGGACCAGGGCGTGAACCCACGTCCCCCACATTGGCAGGCAGATTCTTAACCACTGCGCCACCAGGGAAGTCCCCCATGGCTGTGTTTTAATAAACCTTTTTTACAAAAACAAGCTTTGGGCCAGATTTGGCTTGCGTCATAGTTTACCAACCCCTGTTCTATATGGTCTAAACATGTATTTATTTTTTAAACAATGTTTAGTTTTATATATATTTCAAACTTTATATAAATGATCTCGTATTGTGTGATTTGCTTTTTTGTTCAACATTATGTTCCTGAGATTTATTTATGTTGCATATGGTTACATTTCATTTCCTTTCACCGATATTTCAGTCAGGGTTTAGTCAGTTATTTTAACTGAGAGTATTTAATATAAAGACTTGTTAAATTGGTGCTGGAGAACTGAAAAGCAAAAGGGGCACACTAGGTTATCGTGTAGGTAGTAACTGCCAGAAACAACCACCATCTTTAGGGCTGGGAAAACAGAACAAGTTGGAATTATTAAAACCTAGAAGCTTGGAGGGGGAGCCACTTAGAGCTGGAACTTTGACCTCTGATGATGGGAAACCAGCCTGACTGGTATTGCTATCCCCAAGCAGATATGATAAAGGCTGGTTCTATGAGGGCTAGAAGAATTACCAACTGGAATCAGCTGTTCTTGCCAGGGTAAAGATCTGTGACAGGGGTGGCACTGATAGAAACAGGAAGCAAAGAGAAAGGAATGTGTCCTTTCTTCCTCTAAGAGCCTCTGGTTCTTCCTGTTGGCAGAGTTTAACAGAACGTTGTGGCAAAGAAGAAGTTTCCAGAGTCTCAGCCTCAGCATCACAAAACAGAGCATGGGGGATGGGTTTGAAGATGAATGTCAACAGCGTAACAACCAGTAGCTACAGAATTCCATTGTATAAATATACCACAGTTTAACTCTGGTTGACAAACATTTGTGTCTTCAGGTTTTTGCCTAAACACAATGCTGCTGAAGTTCTTGCCTGTGTGCAAGGGTTTCTCTTTTTTGTTTACTGAAATTTCTTTTAAAGGGTTTTCAGCAATTTTTCACATTGCCAAATCCAGTGACTTCTTTTTATATTCTGTTTAACTTTTTTGATCATTAGCACCATTAACCCCACATTCTTCTTGAAACTTTTTTCTCCCACAGTGTCGTATGCTTCTGATTCTCCTCTTGTCTTTTCAAAAACCAATTTTAATTTATTTTCTTCGGTTAGGAGATGATTTTTAAAAACTAATATTTTTTTCTTTAAGGAAAATTTTACAACATAGGAAAGTGTAAAGAAAATAATAAAAATCTAAACATTATCAATAATAACATATGGCTGAGTTTTAAATCTTTAAAACTCTGACTTGAGAGCCAGACCCACATTTCTAACTTCCTGACTAAACATTTCCACATGAATATCCTCCTGGCATCTTAAATTGACCATATCTAATATCTAAAGCCAAACCCATTTAATTTTTTTTTTTTTTTTTTTTTTTACCATATCCTCTTTCTCATTTCCTTTTTCTCCCCTGTCTTTTCCATATTTGGGTAGCAGTAATTCCAGGATTCATTTTAGGGGTCTTGGATTATTCTTGGCCACCTGAAGTAATTGGACTAACCTGCTTCGTGGTTAGGCAAATGCCAAGGATTCTTTTTTTTTTAACATGTTCCTTTTACATGTTACCTCCAGTTCCCTTGTGAATCCCTAGGTTTCATGGCTTTAAAGCCCCCCTTTGATGTTCAATAACTAGGAGAACTTTTTATAGCATAAGAGATAGGATAGTACAGTGGGTAAGAACATAGACTCTGGAATCAATGCTTGAGTCTTGATTTTGCTACCTAACTGCTATATTCCTAGGCAAGATATGTAACCTCCTCGTAGAATAGGAATAATACCTACCTAATAACATTGTGAAAATTAAATGGATAAGTATAAAATACTTAGAATATTCCTAATAATACTAGGTATAATGTTATCTATTATTACTATTACTCTTTGGTCTAATACCCTTTGGAATGAACCTTTGGATATATTGAGAGCTTAGAACTGGTGCTTCTGCTGCCAGCCTTAGTACATCTTTAAGCAGCTGTGGGGCTATGGTGTAGGAAAGATTCTCAGTATCTTCCATTAGGTGTTTGTTTCTGTGACATTCATCAAGGGAAAGTTGTTTCCTTAATACTCCCTAACACTTAAGCAGGCACATTTCCGCCTAAGAGTTCTTTCTGTGTGCTTTTCTGTGTAAATTTCAGATGTCCCCTGGTGGACAGATAGTTCCTTAGCCTGTGTTGAGTTCACAGTAGGTTTAAATGAAATGGGTAAATAGCGTTCTATTTTACCAGATAAAAGAGATCCAAGAAATTTCATCTCCTGTGCTTATTTTAAGAAATTTCTCAAAAAGTCTTAAAAATTGTTTTTTGTGAAAGTTGATCAGAAGGATTTTTTTTTTTTTTTAAGAATTTCTGCAGGGGAGGAATAAAGAGTGCATCATTGAAGGATTTATGTCTTGAAGATAAAAGACGCATTGCAAACTTAATTAAAGAACTGGCCAGGTGAGACAAAACCTTATAAGAAATGCATTACTATATGAGAGAGTGTTTTTTTTTGAAAATAGAAAATTACAAATATGTTCTCATGTCATTGTGTCATTGTGTCATTGATCTTATGGGAGCAGTGACTTTTAGAATAAAAGGTATCCTGTGGTGCCAAAAAGAAAAGTAGAAGAAAACGTAAAATGGAAAAGAAACACTCTTCAGTTCTGTTTTCTGGTTTAATTTCCCAAATTGTTTCATGGAAATATCTGCAGCAGTCATTTATCAAGAGGGAACATTTTGAAACTTAGCTCTGCTATTGATGTAGGTTGATATTGTAATCAGAGGCATAGCACTTTGGTTTTGCTTTAGTATCTGAAACAGAAAAGAACATTCATTTTATTGTGATCTTTCACAAGAATACTAGTTGTCATTTTGCTAACTTCTGATACTTTCAAGTAAGGGATTTTAAATTTTGAGAATGAGAGTTCTTAGCTGTTCTTAGCTGGAATAAACTATTCCAGTTTATTAATGATGTATATGAAGAATATTTACTTTGTATAATTTTTTGTTAATATACATATCAAGTTTTGGGGTCTTAAATAATAAATGAAGATGCTTATAGAGGAATGTGTTAATATAAATTATAAAAGTTAAGTTTAGGGGAAGGCCATACCTAAAAACTGATAAAATTATATTTATTTTTATCATTGAATTTCATGTTTGGAAATAGTAGGTCTTTTTCTTCTTTCTCTATTTTTAATTAAAGATAACTACATGAAGTGTTTCATTTTGAGACCTTAAAAGAATGTTTGTAGAGGCTTTTCTAGAAAGACCGAAGTTAAAAATTACCTTATTAAATCATAGAATCACAGGTATAAAAGATGACAAAAAGCAGTGATGTTTTGGGGGCTTAGGTTACAAGGTCTGAGATTTCAAAGTACATGCCTTAGTCTGAATGTGATATGCCACCTGAGATAAGCAGTAACCTCTTTCACTAGAATTCTTTGACTGTTCTGTTCCCTGAAGTAGAGTTTTCATGATCTCAAGTAGTGTTTTTTGTATTGGGAAAATATTTAATTGTTAAACATTTAATTTATGATCATCTCACAAGGCTTTTTACCACGAAGATGGATGTGGATGTTCTTAAAGCAATTACAGTTAGTTTGACTTCATATATACTGGTCCTGAATTGCCATTATTGTCCTGACTGATACATTTTCAGCTACCAGGCTTAGAGAGTACTTGACATCTTAGAGTATATTGTTTTGGTTTCAGTAAACTGCCGCTTTCTAGCAAAGTGCTCAATTCTCGGTAGCAGGTCATTGTGTTAGTACAAGGTTAATATTAGTACAAATTTGACTGCTAAAAACCCCTGTTATTACTATATTAACTATTAACATACAGGTATATGGGAATAATGTATTCTTGATTCCTTGAATTTGCTAAGTTTCCTCTGCTGGATATTTCAGTCTATGTTTTTCTACTCATACTTGCCAAACTGTTTTTTTTTCAAGACAGTTTTGTGCTAGTGGGAAAGTAGAGAGAATTCCATGTACCTCAAACACTGGCAACAAAACATTTCTAGCCTTCATGTTCTTTTACCTCTGAATTTTCAACCTGATTTCAAATAACTGGTTTCCTGTTGGCATTAAATACAGTCATTTCTCTTTCAGCTTGAGAAATAAAGTATATACTCCTTTGACCAGATATTTCCCTCTAGCTACTACCTTCTTTGTACTACAACATAACCTCATTCCTAGAAAAGAGTCTGTAATATCTATAATACTGTTTTCTACTCTGTTGCATTTCATTCCCTCCTCAAACTTATTCATTTATTTTAAAATATAATATATGGAAGTGCAATTTATATACGATAATATGTACCCATTTTAATTATATATTTCACTGAGTTTTGACAAATGTAAGATTACTCCAGAAAGTTACATTGAGAACTTTTACAGTCAGTCCCCTCCTCTATCCTCCATCCCAGGCAGCCATTAATGTGATTTCTATTATTACTCCTTAGTTTTATATCTGACACACCAGTATAAGTGGCCCAACAGTATGTACTTTTTTCTGTCTGGCTTTTTTCCCTCAGCAAAATGATTTTTGGTGTGTGGTAAAATATACATAACATAAAATTTACCATCTTAACTGTTTTTAAGTGTACAGTTCAGTGATATTAAGTACATTCGTGTTGCTGTGTGACCGTTTCTGCCATCCATTCCCAGAACTTTTTCATCGCTGAAACTCTGTCCCCATTAAATAACTCCTCACTCTCCCCACTGCCTATTCCCTGGTAACCACTGTTCTATGTGCTTCATGAATTTGGCTATTCTAGATACCTTATATAAGTAGAATCATATAATATTTGTCCTTTAGTATCTGATTTATTTCGGAGCATAGTGTTTTTGAGACTTTTAAAAACTTGTTTTGTATAGGAGTAATGCATTTTTTATCATTGAGTAGTATTCCATTGTATGCCTGTACCTTAATTTGTTTATCTATTCATCTATTAATGGACATTTGGGTTGTTCCAGTATTTGCCTTTTATGAATGGTGTTACTTTAACATTCATGTACAAGTCTTTGTGTGGCTATGATGTTTTATTTTTCTTCTGTAAATACTTAGGAGTGGAATTACTCAGTTATATGTTAAGTGTATATTTAACTTTATAAAAAACTGCCAAACTGTTTCCCAATGTAGTTGTGCTATTTCACACTCCCTCTAGGAACTTACGAGAGTTCCATCATTCTGCATATTCAATAACTCTTGGTATTATCATTTCTTTGCATTTTGACCATTCTCATGAGTATAGTGATATCTCCTTGTGGAATGAATTTGTGTTTCCCCAATGATTAATGTGATGATTGGCCAGTCTTTTGTTAAGTGTCTGTTCAAATCTTTTGCCTGTTTTTTTTTTTTTTTTTTACTCACCCGCTTCCTTCTTTACATTGAAGTATTAGAGTTCTTTATATATTCTGGATGTAAGTTTTCAAATATTTGTTTTTTCCTCCCAACCTGCAGCTTGCTTTTAATGCTCTTAATATTTTCTTTTGAAAAGCAATTTTTTTTTCTTTTGATGAAGTTCACTTCATCAGTTTTTTCTTTTATGGTTGATGTTTTTAGTGTTCCATCTAAGAAATCTTGCCCATCCCACAGTAGCAAAGATTTTTTCCTATGTTAGAAAAGACTATATCTTTTCTGCAGAATTAACCTCCGCCTCCTTGTCAAAAATCAGTTGACCATATATGCATGGCCTATTTCTGGGCACTTTATTTCATTCCACTGACCTATATGTTGCCCTGATGCCAATACCACAGTAACTTGATTACTGTCATTTTATAGTAAGTCTTGAAATCAGGTAAATCCTATTGATTTTTTGTTCTTTTTGAAAATTGTTTTGGCTCTTTGAGGTCCTTTGCATTCCACTAAATTTTAGAGTCAGCTTATTAATTCCTAAAAGAACATTGCCTCCTGGAATTTTGTTTGGGGTATATTGAATTTACAGATCAAAGTGAGGAAAATTAACATGCACTGAGTCTTCCAATCTATGAATATGTCATATCTCTCCATTATTTTTTTAGATTTTCTTGCATTTTTTTCTGCAGGATTTGTAGTTTTCAGGGGTACAGTGTGTAAAATATGCTCATATTTTGTTGTATTTATCCTTAAGTATTTTATGTTTTTTGATACTATTATAAATGGTGTAATTTTAATTTTATATTATACTGTACACTGAATTTTAAATTTTATTTCTAATTTGAAAAAAAACAGAATTGATTTTTTAACATTGACTTGGTATCCATCAACTTCTTAAAATTCACTTGTTATAGTAGTTTTTTTTTGCCAGAGTACTTTGGATTTTCCACATACAAGATTATGTCATCTACAGATAAAAACAGTTTTATTTTTTCTTTACAATCTATAGATTCTTTTTTTCTTTTTCTTGCCCTTTGGCATTGGCTAGAACCTGCAGGACAGTGTTGAATGAAAGTGACGAGGGTGGACATCTTTGCCTTCTTTTTGTTATCTTAAATCTTTAACTATTAAGCACAATGTAAGCTATAGGTTTTTTGTAGATGTTCTTTATCAGGTTGAGGATATTTATTTTTGTCCCTAGTTTGGTGAGGTTTTTTTTTTTTTTAGTCATAAATAGGAGTAGAATTTTGTCAAATGATTTTTCTTCATTTACTGTGCTGATAATATGGTTTTTTTTCTCTGTTATACTCTGGTAAAATATGTTGATTGATTTTTGAATGCTTAATTTACCTTGCCTTCCTGGCCTAAGCCTCATTTGGTCATGGTGGTTTTTGGTTTTGTTTTTCATCTATTACTGAGTTTGATTTGCTAATATTTTATTAGAGATTTTTGTAACATGAGAAATGCTTGTAGTTTTCATGAAATGTCATTATATATTTTTTAACTTTATGTTTTAATTATGGTAAAATACACATAACATAAATTTTACCATCTTAACCAATTTTTAAGTCTACAGTTCAGTAGTATTAAATGTATTCACGTTGTTGTTCAACCAGTCTCCAGAACCCTTTTCATCTTGAAAAACTAAAACTCTGTGTGCCCATTAAAGCTCCCCATTCCTCCCTTTGCCAGCCCCTGGCAGTCACCATTCTACTTTCTCTGTCTGCAAGTTTTACTATTCTAGAACCTTATATATATGTCAAATCATTGTGTTTTTTACCATAATGTGGTAAAATACATATAACATACAATTGACCTGTCGTGACATTCAGTACACTAACAGTTTTGCATAACCATCACTTTTAAGTTCCAGAACATTTTCACCCCAAAGGAAACTGTACCCATTAAGCAGTTGCTGCCCATTCTCCCTTTCCACCTAACCCCTGACAATAGCTAATCAGTTTTCTGTCTGTATTGATTTGCTAACTCTCGATATTTCATTTAACTGGAATCATACAATATGTGGCCTCTTGTGTCTGATTTCTTTCACTTAGCATAATGTTTTCAAGGTCGGCTGAAAAATAAGCCATTGTGTG